CAGTCAGACAGTCAGACAGTCAGACAGTCAGACATTAAGACAGTCAGTCAGTCAATCAACTTTTAAGACCGTCAGTTATTCAGGTAACTTTCATGCGCGTTCAAAGACTTATCATAACCATAAGGAGCTTCGATAGAAACAGGAGAAATTAGGAGGGAAAATGAAGTACCTGGTCCCACACGCAGTGACCGCTGACATGCTTCGCCGCAATTGGTGGACAAACAACTAGACAAACAAACGTATCGCGCTCAACAGACCCCAACACGTAAGCAATGTCCATAATGCTGAATGCTACCTAGATCTTCTCCCCTATTTGGTCACATTGAGGTCTACTCAGTCTTCCTTAACACTGAAGAACGAATAATTTTCGTAAGCCGTCTTAAATGACGAAGAGAAGGACAATGAACATGGAGCTCAACCAGAATGCTTTGGCCTATTCTGCCACAACCCTGGCAGCCACAATGATGAATTCTATATTCCAATTCTATTACGTGAAAATTTTTCTGAACGTATACAGGTGAGCTTAAAACACGATATATGCTGGGTTTCGTAAAGACTATACGTAAGATACGTTTTACTGAGGAACGAGAGACCGTAATGTGAAGCCCTCTTGGAAATAAGGCTTCCTGATCGGGCATGCACAAAACTTGGATTGGATCAAATCAGATTGCAGACTTGCATCCTATATTGGGCATTAAAAAAAAGTTCCTATTCAGTGAGATCAGAGTTGCTTCAATCCAAGTTTTGTTCCTGCCCATCCCAAATCTGAGAGGAGTCAGGCATTTGTTCTGTATTACATCTACATCTACACCTACATTATGGGGGTCTTGCAAAGGGAGGCATGCTCCCATCACTGCAAGACATAAAATAAAAACTTGACACTTACGCAAATACTTGTCACCACCAATGTTTTGTATTTCTTTGTACCTTGTAACCAATAATGGGTTCCTTCATATAATCATGAACCAGTTGTGCCTAAAGTTGCTGACTATACTGATCAACTGTCACGTCATATCGTGAACCCACTGTCACAAAATCCAAACAGATTTTAACAATGCCGCCTAAGGCTTCCAAGTTTAAGAGTTGAAGTAAACAGTGACTGACACACCTTGTCAAGGTGTCCTGCAGTTAAAACAAAAGGAAAGCAATGTAGTTCAGGTTTAAGCAGCTGTTTGTGGGAGAGGTATGGAGGCAGGGTGGCCTTAAGGTTGGCACAGTGAACTCCGGATTGACTGGCGCGGGTGTGAGCCCTGGCTGCAATCATTTCATTGTGTAATTGGGCAAGACACTTACAGTAACTCTCACATTACCTCTCTCCACCCAGGTGCATAAATGGGTGCCTGCAGCAAATTTAATCCTGGAGATAACCTTGCACCAGATTAGCTTCCCATCTAGGGGAGTAGAAATTTCCCAAGTCATTTCATGCAACAGAAATTGGGCCTGCTCCGGCTCTATGAGCCACTCACTGGTTTGACACAAGCTTTATCTCACTCACTCGCATGAAGTGACTAGGGGTATTTCTACTCCCCCTGGTTGGGATGCTAGTCCATCCCAGTGTTACCCCCAGCATTAAGGTTGCCAGTACTCATTTATATACCTGGGTGGAGAGATTATTGGCAGTGCGAAAGTAAACTGTGTTGCCCAAGAACACAACACAATGTTCCTGGCCAGGGCTTGAACCCGGACCACTTGATCCAGAGATGGGTGCACTAACCATGAGGTCACCCTGCCTCGTTAGAGGACAGGGTACTCCTCATAAACTCCTCTGCCATTTACTTTTATTATCAAAAATTAATATAAATTTTCTTTATTCGCACAATCATTTAATGATCAAGCCAGTTTCTGTGCATGATTGAAGATGTACAAGATGTTTTCTAAACTTGTACTAACAGTGAAACCCCGTTGATACGGTCACCAACTGGCCACAAAAATCTGGCCGTATCATTGGGGTGGCTGTATTAAAGGGTTTCTTAGGTAAGAAAGTGACTGACTGAGCTTTTCTTCAGGCCAGAAAAAAATTGGCCATAATAACAAGGTGGCCATGTTAACGGGGTAGCTGCAAGGTGGGACTCTACTGTATGTATTGTATACTAATTCTTTGTATCTACATCTTCATCTGTTGAATGTGAAGGATTTCAAACTACTGGTTCAATTTAGCTCAAATTGTGTTCCTCATTTGGAATGCCATCAATGACCCTTTGTTTGGATATTTCCAGGTAAGAGAATAAACCTTGGGCTTTCTTAGATTTGGTGGGGTTTTTTGTCATGGTTTATGTGTAAATGTGATGTTTTGAGCCAGTCTGCTTTACCTTATACAAAAATAGGTTCAATCATTAATGATTTGTCGTATTTTAAGCTATGAATAACAAAAATGTAATGACAGAGGTTTTTGGAATTAGCTAGTCAAGACCAGATACAGTGAGGGCACTCTTTTCCCAAGTTTGATTTGCATTGTTCAGTGCTAATTATCACATTTGTGTCGTTATGATCAATGCATGATCCATGACATTATTTGATGTGCTTTTCATTCTTGTCATCATTTTAAGGACAGTTCCACCTGGATGTTTTTAAGAAAAAGAAGGTTGGCTATATTTTATGGTGCCCCCTTTTTTGCAATTAGGTAAGCTTGCAACATATTTTAACATAGGTAATAAAAATAGTACACAAACTGTACATAGATTATGCAGGGTGACTGCACTAGTGCAGGGTGTACCTTTTGTATTCTGAAAGGATTTGAGGTTACCGTAATGGTAAGCGGTATTAAGACTAAGTTTGCATTCATGTCCTATTTCATGGCTTGTATGTGTTAACTAATAACTTGGTATGATGGGACATGCTTATTTGACATTTAATTTATTATCCCAATAATTAACATTACTGAAGCCGCTAATACATGTGTGTTAATTATTTTTTTTTGAAGCTTTTTAACTCCTTGGTTTCCATGGACATGGTTTGGCTTTTCTGAAGATTGGGGAGTTGGCCTTCATCTTATGACTGCACTATGTTTTTACGATGGAATGTTCACATTTGGTATGTAGAAATTGTAGTCAAACCTCTGATCTTGTATTGATTAAGTAGTCACTCATTTTAGCAGGGAAGTTGGTCCCATGAAAGAGGTATTCAGCCTACCTTCATAAGCATGGTTTTAAATTCACCCAAGACAGAATGTTTTCAAGAGAAATTCTCATAATAATTTGATTGGGGTACAAGACGTGTGAATGTGGCCACAGCCCAAAAGACATTTAATTTCACATTTGTACTGACTGTTTTTTTTTTCAAATACATCAAAATGTTTAGTTACTGTCTAGCTAAACACAAGCCAAGACCATTTATTAATTATCTTACATGTGACATGTGTACGCACTGTACACAATGTACGTGTAGATGTCAGATATTGTATATTGGCAATATGAGTAGTTTTGTAATGTATTTACAAGTAATATAACTGACATTAAGCTTTTTTAATGCTATTTACTTTTGTTTTCATTTTGTTGTAGTGGTACTTGCCCAATGTGCTCTTTTTGCTGAGATTTCAACTGAACAAGAGGAAAGACAGACTACTCTCAAATATTCGTAAGAAGCTAACTCATTTAAGTTTGAGAAATTTGTTTAAATAGTGTTCTAAAATGTGCCATGCTGTAGTTGTAGTTGTCTTAACATGATCGAACATAGAGCATTATCAACTGGTTTCTTGAAAAGGAAATTTTCACTTGTTAGGAGTGTATTGGTAGTTGTGAATTGTAACAGGAATCTAACAACATACATGTACAGGGGATAAATTACAATGGCCTGCAGTGTAACATTCCATCTTGGGGGAGTAGCAATTCTTGATGCTGACCTCACTTATGCCTGGAAAATTGAATTTTTCTTTGTTTATAAATCAGTAATAAAATCAGGTCTAGATCTGTTCAGAAAAGCATTGTACGTTGACATGTATGTATATGTATGTATGTATACTTAATTGGCCACTCCCCATTAGGGCTTTTCAGGACCAATATAAACAAACAATGATAAATAAATATTCAACTAAACATAACTAGGTTAAGAATCCCAACAGGCGGGAGGCAGACCAGTAGGCTGTTTACAAGCGTAGCCGAGAAGTTGAACTCGGGGCTACAGAGAACAACATCAGCTAGCGGTCAGAACGGGATTTGAACCCGAGACCTACGGATTTCAAATCCGGCGCTCTAACCACTCAGCCATGCTGCCTCCTTTACATGTACATTGCATTGAATGGAGCTGTTCAGAGCACAGAATCAAACTTTATCAGAGTTTTGACTGATACATGTATCTGTTTTGGTCATCTTTCAGGCAAGTGGCATCCATTATTGGCACAACAGCTCTTTTAGTTAGTACAAATGTGTATCAGAATGAGGTAAGCTAGACCTAAATTATGAAAACAACAAAATACAAGCTTAGCACCAATATGTAGAATCTAGTCAGTTACTACAGCGTTCACATGGGTTAAGGCCTGGCTAAACAGATCCACATGTAATCACAAGTTGAACTGCGTCAAGTGCTCATCCAGACTAGCAAGTTCACTTGCAAGAGGATACAAGTTTCAAAATAAAATTATGACAAATGATGTGCAATCAACTTGCTGAGGAACTTCAGCTGTCTTGAGTGTGAATGTATGCCAGTTGAACTCATCAACACTAGATGAGTGTGGGGAATGTGCCTGAAATGCTGGTGGAGCAAGTTCTTACAAGCTGAGCATGCAGGGCAACCATGACAACCCAGTGAAAGGCAATCATGAGGCACCGTCACAGCAAAACGAGCGAAGTGGCCTGAACTCAAGAGGAGAGTTCCTTGCAGAACCCCACAGGCATAGTCAAACCTAATGCAGTTTGAACACTTGACTGTGTCTTCTTACGACTCTATTTAGAAAATCTTGGAGAACATGTGTGAAAACTATTATTTTATCTGCAATGTGATAATTTCTGGTTATACAATTTTTGTTATTAAACAGCAAAGTAACTTCCAGTTATTCCAAGCTGTGTGCATCGTCATTGCTTTCCTCAGCTGGTTGCTGATGAGGTACACTGGCATGAATGTCCAAGTTGCTGTGGAGGCAAGCACCACCAGCACTACACAAAATCAAGGTTCCATAAAAATTTATAAAAAGCATTTTATTTTGTAAAGGTACTGATAATTGAAAAGAGTGAACAATCAAGAGTCACTGATTCGTCAGTTTTAATTGCAACCACTCGTGTGTGAAAAACAAAAGTGTCAAGTTACCATTTGAAACTAACAAATAAAAATATCTTCATTGTTACATTTACCTGCAACAAAAACCAATTCCACCTCAAGGTAACATTTTCTCTGGTTTCAGTGATTTCTGTTCGTATTTCCACAGTAGAAATCTGTATTTGGAAACACCTTTTCTCCAAAAAAAAGATGTTCATTATACTTTCAGTTCCCCTGATTGTGATCCTGGGTGAAACAATGTGAAATGATACTAGTTTCTTCGCCATCTTGCCCAAGCGTGTTTAGCCAATGTCAACATCGGCATGTCCGAACTAAGAAGCGGCAATTGGATTGGTTTTTCATAGAAGCTTCAATATGATTGGTCTGAGACACATACATCGGTCCACCCAAAAACCATTCAATACATACACCTGACATGCTGCCTACAAGGTACTTTTTTTGCAAAAAAAAATAACCCAAAAATTGGATGATATATATTTAATACCAGAATGTAGATCTGTTGAACATGCTGACTATACAAATGTGTACAGATTGAATTATGGATGCATGCTGCCTCTATTAATTGCACCACACAACTTTTTTGAGCTACATTATATATCTCTCATTTTTATGGTATTATTATTAATTGCTATAGTAATGATTGTTGTGTAACCGAGGGTTGGTACTTGTACCTGTAAACTGTAAGTTATGTTAAGACTCACAAGGCTCGGTCTGTTTGTTGTTTTAGATGGGAAGACTTCCAAAGATTCAGTTCCTCTCTTCACATTGTTGAAGCAAATACTAACACAAAGAAGCTTTGGTAACTACATTAGATATACATTAATTTTTTAAGTGAATCAAGTAATCAATGACTGCTAGACAGATGGCTATCAGAGTAGATGGTTGGGTAAGGACCAGGCAGATAGTCATATGGATGGACAGTAAGGCAAACAGACTGACAGACAGACAGACAGACAGACAGACAGACAGACAGACAGGCAGATGGATCAGAAATAGGAAGGTTCAAGGAGTCAATACAACTGTGAAATAATCATTTGTTGGAGGACTGTTATAAAATTAATATTTAGTGTAAGGAGAATATAGTATGTTCAAAATTGTAAAAGTTCATTCTGTCCGTGCAATTGATTGCCATGTGTTGTTGAAAATGAACAATCAAAAGTTTTATTTGAGCAATGTGACTTTTTGAAAATTATGTTTGTCATTATTTTTGCTTTGCAGTTTGCTTTGTGGCTATGAATTTCTTTCAGGTAAGCATATCTTTATCATTTTTAATGACACAAAATGTTTTTGTCTGTTTTTGTTGTCTCTTTTGGTATTCGTGCTACACTAATTTGACTTAACAACTGAGGGTTATTTTGATGTATTATAATATTATTTTGGCGTTAAAATGCAGGGCTTTTTTTTATGAAGGAGTCAAGTTATAGAGCCATGATTGTTCATTAATTGGTAATAATCCATATTAATTTTTTCCATGCTAACATGAAATTATCTTTGCCGTTGCATTGCCATCTTCAGGTTTTTCATACTACATTTTGTAGCAACTTCTTCCTCATTTTTGCTGAGCACCTCATTGGACCTGATGTGATACCAGCTGTAAGTTATAGTAAGACTTATCATAAGAATTAAATTGAATAATAATTTATTGGTTTGGGGTATTCATTGGTTTGGAACTTTGAAGCAGTGAATCAAAGTTATGCAATCATGCACACAGTCGGACCTCTTCAACGGCCACCTTGGGGACAGAGGGAAGTGGCTGTTGTATAGAGATGGCCATTATGGGGAGACAGGGGTGTAACATGACACGGTCTGTTTTTTTCAACAACATTTTCTTTCAAAAATTGCTTATTTTGGCTTAAATCAAAATGTATCAATAAAACCGAAACTTCACAGAAACAGAGACCTCAATGGTGCCTGGTGCAGATCAAGTTTGCTGACTTTTTTCAATAAAAAGGGGTTTTGTATACGTCATTCATCAGCCACTGATTTTGAGAGGTTATTTTGGCAGTTGGAATGGGTTTTAGTGGCTATTGCCATTGTAGAGAGGTTAAAATAATAGTGAATGTATGGACTGTTCACCATGACCAAAAAAAGAGGCTGTTGTAGAGAGATGGCCATTAGTGGAGGTTCGACTGCATTTACAATAAGGACTAGAATCATGCAAGTGCCAACTGTACTGTTCAAGTGATGACCTTCCCTGGAACTAACTATATTAAGTCATGATATAAAATTATTCCTGGTTGCCAATTTGTTTTAATTTTATTTTTTCAGATCCTTTACAGCCTACTAACTGGGTCTGTTTTCTTGTTACCCAGGGTAAGTAATTTAACAATTAAGTTAATTTTTATGAATTTATATAACAAGCTAATTGCTTTTGATTTTTCTATTGAAAAATTTTGCATTAAAACACCTTAACATCTACAATGTACATCGAAAAGGGGACACCACTGTAATAAAGACATTGCATTAAGGCATACAGCCAGTACTAGCCACATTTCACTTGTAATGATCATTGGCAATTAGAAGATATATTTTTAGGCTAAAAATGGATTGCATCCCTTGGCAAATTGGTACAATTAATACTTTATAGCCCAGATATTGTAAAACACTGTATTAACCCATATGACTACTTGTTGAAGTTAAGGTCTTTGTCTATTCTGTTATCAGTAAATTCCAGCAGGATTACTGTTGGCTGCATTAGCTCTTTGTGAGGCAGACATCTCCTAAAAAAAGACTGACAAAGCTAGTTCCTTAAGGGTGTCTTCCTTAGATGAAATGAAACCTCTACAGTAGACCAAGCCCTGAAACTACTACTTACAATAATTTTCCCTTGAAGTTCTCCCATACCGTAATAATGAACATACTTTAGACATGTTTGTTTTTGTTCCTTGCTGGTGGAAAGCTGATTAGGTTGATATTTACATTATGGAAGGAAGGAATAGTACTGTGATATAATAATTAATAGTTTGATTCTTTCTTAAATATCAGAAGGGCATTCAGCTAATTAAAAGTATTTTAAACTAAATATTAATTTTGCTGTTTTCAGCTACTTGTTTTGTTAACAAGCCCATTGTTAGCTAGACTTGGTTCTTACAAGGTCATCTTGTGGTCGTTCTATATAAAGGTGGGAATTGAACTACACTCAAGTAAACTTAACATAGTCTTTATTTTGCTTTATAATATAAATTTCACGCTTATATACTTCTCAACTGAAACTTCCTTCTTGTGTTGTGGATGGGATTTATTATTTTCTGATCATAAATTACGTCAACCAAACAAAAAGGAAGGTATCGCTTTGACAGAGATTTAAATTAAACAACCTCAAAATAGATTAACTAATTAAAATTAAGCTTTTTAAAGGTTTGGTTATTTGTAAAGGGACATTTTTATTGACTAACATGACTTTCATGTTACAAGTTTGGTTGAAGATTCTTTTATTTGGCATAATTATGATGGGATTGTGCAAATCTTGTTTCATAATTATTTTATTTCTTTTATAGCATTAATGTTGTTAATTTTATGTTATGTAATGAGTGTACATGTAAAGACCCGGTAAACACACACAGCCTTTCTGTACAACAGTTGATTGCGACATTGTTGTGCACACCCCATTCCACATGTTTGACCAACCCGCTCCCCCAGGGGGGTACTCCCAGGAAAATTGCATGGGAATAGGCAGCAGGCTTCCCAAAACCCTTACCCTATTTGAGACCAAAATGGCCTAATTAATCGATACCCTGTTTCTGACCAGAGCAACTAAAACCACTAATATTATCCTTTGGGCTGCACATACTTGTGTAGCCCATAGAAGGGAGTACCCCCAAGGGGCCAACCTGTTGCACCCTTCATCATCTTTATTATTATAATAGGGTGGCCAAACATGTGTGCAACATGCTGTCACCTTAAAACATTAATACATGTACATGCATGCAGAACCAGCATAATAAGCCATAAAATGCAATTTCTTTTTTCTCGAGAACATTTGAAATAGTCCTAGGCTTATGGTTTGTTAATTATCACCCTGTAAGCAGAGCCTTTTCTTACGGTAAATAATGATTATTATGCTTTTTTTTCAAAAAAGAGATCAAGCAAAAAGAGATTAAGAGGCTCTGCTTGAAGGGTGGTTAAGTATATAATCGTAGTGTATTTTTAACCAAGCTCAGTTGCCCAGTCTTGTAGTCTGAGCTATATTAATGTTATATTTACTATTTGCCATTTGCTACTTTCAAAACTTGTAAGACCTGTCTAGTTTACAGTTACTGTAGTCTAACTTTTCCCCTTTTTTAGGTTTCACTACCTGCTATTGTCTATTTTGCTGGAAGAAATAACATTTGGATCTTGTACTTTTTTCTCATAATTGACAAGTAAGGCTTTGACCATTTAAAAAACAAAACCACAGTTTTTAATATTAATATTAATGATGCACAATCATAATACAGGTTAATTTCAGTTTCACAGTTTAAAGCAAAATTTTTATCTCAAAACATAGCTTCTCTTTGCTTCACATTTAGGAACATCTGAATAAAACTCCAGTAGCTTTGGCTCATTAGCAGAAGTGTGTAAAACGTTTCAAGATTGTGTAATAAACTCCACTAAGTTTTCCTTTTGCATGTATATTTAATTGCAGTTCCCTCCCAGATGCCACATTCTCATTGTTCAATTTATCAGTCTCGGATATTATTGATCATGACATGGAAAAATACCAGAGAAAGTAAGTAAAGGATAGTCTGGAAGAGATTATAAGGTATATAGTTCTGATATACTGTAGACTGATTTCTCTGTTTTAATACCAATTTAGAACTATATCAAAGAATACAGGCATTTAAGTCAATGTATATCATCATTAACTCAGTAATACAATTATTACAGGGCTATAATTACCACAACCTGAAACTAAATGGTGTTTGAAACATGGTCTGAACTCGTGAATGACTTTTGGTTTCAATTGTGTACTAACTAAGATGTTGCAAGTGTATCAATTCAAATACTGACATTTGTCCCATTACTGTAGTGCACCTGTTTCATCGATGATATTCGGTACGAATGCACTGTTTACCAAGCCAGCTCAGTCCTTAGCACCTATGATGGTCGTACACATCCTGTCTTGGTATGGATACAAGGTGAGGCAACACTGGATGCAATCAATCTACAGAAAAAAGATCACATTGCATCAGACTTGTTAAGTAAAATAGCAAAATCGGCCATGTGCATTGTTGAGTCACAAGGACCAAAGCAGAAACTGCTTAGAGCCTGAGAGATTCCAGTAATGCTATGGTCACAGCTTTATGTCACACTCTATTTGCTTTACATACAGATGCTACTTGTCATTGAAAGTATTAGGATTTGCACCACATATTTTGTACATTACTTTCTTAATTATTAATTTATTTGGGGCAGTGGCTAGACCTTGCTTGGTGCCGGTCTAGAATGGAACAGTAAGGTGCCTCCTTCCCTCCACTAGCCTGGGTGTTTCTCTGTTTCTGTCTGGGTGTTTAATCGTTTCTCTGTGGATATTTTTTGCAGGAAACTCTGGGTGTAAATAAAGACAAGGCTTCTTCAGGTAATTAAATTCAGTACTTTTATGATTCTTTATATCAATTACAATTGCATCCAAATTATTAAATATAAGAGACAACATTTAATCACATTTCCAAATTTGGACAACAGAGTGGAAAATTATGATGTGCAGCAGAGTATTTTAGGTGAATTTCAGGGTGCTTGGAAATGTGATGAAATACTGTTTTTAGTGCTTGATATTGTACATCAAAATTTAATTTTGTCTTTAAGTTAATGTTATTAATTACTGTGTTTAACCAGTTATTACTAACATGAGTAAGTTCATCACAATTTAGTCATGGAATAAGCTGTGAAGCTACACCTGTCTCTTGGCAGTAATTAGTCATGGTGCAATTGGCACTGATTTAATTGCCTTAAATTCAACAGCTTTCTGACATTTTCACTTTACATAACTAGACACTAGAAAGCACGAGTGATCATAACAACGATTCAGTTGGTTATGTTATGGGTCCTGTTTTCCTTTGCTTTTCTCTTTTTTCTTTCCAGTCATTTTTTTTCGAACAAAGAGGGGCCAGATCTTAGATAGAAACATTTCTTTGTTGTCTTTGATAGAGTCATAAGCTCGTAATCATTAGGTGACCACATCTTCTTTGGAATTATCCTTATATGGCTGTTCTTTCTTTCAGGAACATCACCACAGCTTTTAGATGCAATGTTCTTTCTTTTGTGTCTCATCCCTCTTGTGATTGCCATTGTTCAAATCGTTTTCTGGAAGTTGTATCCTCTCAAGAGGCCAAAGAAGGCTCCAGATGGCTCCAAGATACTTGCATAGCAGCAAATCATCTCAAGAAGAAAGTGACCAAAACGTTTGCTCCAAAATTAGCTTCTTTTCAACTTACAGTAGTTAAGATTAATTGTTGAGGCGAGTTGAGTCACACACAAGCTTTGTAGTTTTGCTTCCATCTTCTTGTCACTTTTTCTCCATAGTTTATTTTAATTTATATTTTGTCTTAGTTCTGGGTGGGAAATGAATTAGAAAAATTGAAAGTTTTAAGCAGTACTTTAGAAGTAAACAGTTCTTTAGAGGTAATCATTTAGCTCATGGAAAGTAGGAAGAGGATCAAGAGAATGCCTCATTTGCCTCATGCCTCATTGCACAAGGTGCAATTTTATGTGGAATAAAAGGGAGAGAAGAAAAAAAAAAACAGAATTCATGTTCTTTTAGAGGAGCTGTGTTAAGTTATACTAACGGTATGTGAAACACATTGTAAGTATCACATGGGAAAGTCAGGAAACTATAGAGAAGATGTTTCACTCACTATTGTATATATCTATGTATGTTGTAAATTTGGGAGATAGACATTAGTAAGTTACAAAAGCTGACAGCTTAAAACTGTACATTAAAGAAACAGTAATGTCAGTCAATATATGTTGTATTGTGCAGTCCGTCCTTCAAGTCCACATTCGTAACAGTGACTGGGTACTAGAACATAAGACTTCAGTAGGGTTTTGAAATGCCCTCCTTGATTACCTTGGTTCCAGGGATTTTCTTTCTTTCATTTACTGAAGGGAAGGCAGTGGATGTAGAGAAGACAGAGAACCTCTGGGACCAGGGTGTTACACATTTTTTTTCCTAGCAATTATGCCAGGGTGCTACTCCAATCAGTGCTAAGCCATAACTGTCCTCTGCTCTCTCAACCCCCCCCCCCCCCCCCCCCCCCCCCCCCCCCCCCCC